CGGGCCCAGCTGCTCCGCGGCATGTGGGATCTTCCCGGACCAGGGCACGAACCCGTGTCCCCTGCATCGGCAGGCGGACTTCTAACCACTGCGCCACCAGGGAAGCCCCCAAAAGGCCCCTTTTTCATATGTTAGCCTCTCTTGGAAGTCAACTCCAAACATACATGTAATGATGATGTGCCTGAAAAAGCACTAACGACATGAAGATTTTCAATGGATTTAACTAAATGAAAGATCCAAAACGTTCACAGTTAAGATTTGTTAATCCTTGTCCCTGGCCAACATTTTATGCTGATTTGAAATTGTTTAACTATTACAAAAATGATGCAATATTGTAATTACTCTATGGGGTTTGGGTACATTTTTTTTTGTAATTTCCTTTATGTAATGGAATGATTTTCCTTTCCAGGAGTATACAAATACCCAAAGAAAGGACAAGGTCAGGTTGACAGATTGTGGGATTTAGATTGGTACCTAAGCTATTTAAGGTTGACACTCACTGTAATCTTGAATGTTGGTGTTACCGACCAGGGTTCTTGGACTCTTTAATCAATAGAAATTGATAAGAGGCGATATGAGGAATCCAGGCAAGGCTTTTCTGGGACTCATGCTGCAGCAGGAGGGAGTGAAAACAAGTAACAGGTGTCCTTGCGCACTCTCCAAGGTGGAGGTGAGCCATTAAAGGGGTGAAGGTAGGGGCAGATCAATGGGCTGGGCCGGAGGCGTGGCTTAGGTGCTCTGCCCACCCCCTTGGTGGTGCTGTGTGCAGGGATCCTGCACAGTATGCTGCTTCTTTTGTTCCCAGCACCTCAGAAATGGCAGTTGGGTTTTGGCCTTTTTGTATCTTCTTGTTCATAATTTGCCCCATCTGCACATGCATGCAGTTATATTTTTTTTTAACATTTTTATTGGAGTATAATTGCTTTACAATGGTGTGTTAGTTTCTGCTGTGTAACAAAGTGACTCAGCTATACATATATCCCCATATCTCTTCCCTCTTGCATCTCCCTCCCTCCCACCCTCCCTATCCCACCCCTCTAGGTGGTCACAAAGCACTGACTTGATCTCCCTGTGCTATGCGGCTCCTTCCCACTAACTATCTATTTTACATTTGGTAGTGTACATGTGTCCATATATATACTACTACTCTCTCACTTTGTCCCAGCTTATCCTTCCCCCTCCCCGTGTCCTCAAGTCCATTCTCTAGTAGGTCTGTGTCTTTATTCCCGTCTCATGTAGTTATTTTTAGTTCCTTATAGTTTCTTTGTATGCTGTTGCTGGTCCAGGTGCAAGCACTGCAATAAAAGGTCCCAGGTTCCAGGTCCCAGCCTGTCTCACTTGTAACTGCTGTGGAGTAAGTCGATGTCCTTGGGCACCTTACAAAACTCAGCTTGTGCACAAGTTGGGAAGAAGAAGGAGTCCGGGAGGATTATTCCCTTACCACCCCACTCAGTCCCTTCTCTATCTCCCCAAAGGTCCACCCATGCCATTCTATTTACATCAATAGCAAAGACACAAGAGTCATCTTCCACTCTTTCACTGCAAATGAAGAAGTGATCTCTGACACCCAGAAGTGTGAATGGCACTTAAATACTGATATATTATACAATATACCAGGCTCTCAAAGTCTAGTCCACGTTCCAAATTACTGTTGATGGTTTGAATTGGGGTGGGGGGTGTCCTCCCCTGCTGGACTTTCATAGATGCTGTTCTTTGGCTTGAGTGTTCTCCCTTTTGAAATACATGCCGTGGTTGCCACCTCTATTAAGATTCCTGCCATTGTTGCAAATTCCGGAAAGCGGCAAAGCATCAAAAATAAACCTTCATTAAAATTATTCCCTTCTTATATTAGATAGCTTATAATTAGACTAACCAGATTTCCAAAACAGGGATGGAGAGGAAGAGAGGGACAGAAGGAGGAGGGAGAGAGGGTGTTAGAAGGAAAGGATATGGGTAAAAAACAATACAAACAAGGACTACACTTCCCTCCCCCAAAGGAGCTTTCTTGTCATCTTGGAAAGATTATATAAAACCTATAAGTTAAAATCAAAATAAATAAATAACTTAATTTAGTTAATAGGAACACGTGCACCCTTCATGTGATTACTGAGTGTAATCGCCAGTCACTGCAGTAGGAACTGGAGATACAGAGAGAGAGCTGATCTTTAGTTGTAGGTTCACGGAGCAAAATGAAAGTACTCACTGTTCCTGCCCATGTTTGCACAAAGGGAACAAGTTATGGTCCCCAAAGAAACTGAAACAATATAGAATTTTTTTTTTTTTAATGAGAAGGATATAACTAGCTGATCATCTTACTGGTTATTTCACTTAAACATATCTACCTCTTAAGGTTACAATTTTAAACTCAAAATCAGAAGACCTGCCTACTACTGCCAACTTTGCCATTGATCTTATAAGATCTTGCCATTTCTGTCCTTCATATTTTTGCTTTCTTATCAGGCCAAAAGTCTGTATCTACTTTCTAATCTGTAATATAAAACTTAGAAATCTCTTTCAATCCTTCTGGAGGAAGTCTGTGCTGAATCATAAAATGCTCTTTTATTTTAGAATGGATTTTGTATGTGCCAATAGAGAATTAATAAAGGGTAGTGATTAATGCTCCCAAAATATTCAGGGAGTTGGTCTTGTCTAGTTATTTCCCCATGCCTGAGCAGAATCATGATTAAGAGCTGACCAAGAGAAGAAAAAATAGAGAAGGAGCCTGGGTAGAGGGGATAGAGAATCAAGTTAGCAGGGTCACAGGGGACACTGACACTTCAAAAGGCTGAAAGGCTCTGAAATTTCATGAAGGATTGTCTTAGGTTTGGCAGATACGAAATTGTTAAATACTATCAGAGGAAAATGTGGAAAGGTAGACTAAGGCCTATCCAAATTACTCTGGACTTAACATGGCTCAAGATGTTTTGAAAATCACATTAAATCTGTCAGTTTAAACCTGTTTCATGTAATGTTTGATACTAAACTAAGTACATGAAATTATGGGCATTCAGAAGATTTTTAAAGAATTTACTGGTTTTATTCTGGGGCAGTAATGGTTCAGTGAGGCATTGTAGGACAAAGATTGGAAGAGGAAAGAAGCTAGAGAATATAGCCTGGTATCTGGGGGCCACTTTCCTCCTTGAAATGATTGCCAATTTCAATAACAGATAAGCCCTCATAGAGACTGAACCTCATCTTTGAATCATCCTAATCCATATTGGATTTATATTATTTTCAGTTAGCAAATACCTCAAGCCTAGCTACTTGCTAGATGCAAGAGTAAATGATCCTTAGAGAAAGATAATATCATTAAGAGCTTGAAATTACTTCTAAATTTCTTCATATATAATTAGTCCAGCACCCATTCAAAAATAACCGAGCCTAAAAGGAGACCATATGACCCAAAACCAAAATAAACAACAGTTCATAGAAATAGACCTAGATTGAGCTGGACGATGAACCTATCAGACATTTATTTTTAAATGCTATACTTTATATGTTTAATGAACTAAAAGGCAGGACTAAAAATTTTGGCAAAGGACTGTAGAAGAGAACCAAAAGGAAATTTTAGAACTGCAAACCACAATATCTGAAATTAAAACCAATAGATACATACAAAAGATCTTTCCAGGTTTAACCGGGGAAAAACTTACAGACTGGTCCCAACATTTCAACATAATTATGGTTCCAATTGTGTTGAAAGCAATTCAGGAAAAATGTACATAAAGATATATTTGGCTTTGGTTTTTCTATAGCTGAGTGAATAAATGATACACGCATTTAACTATATAATTCAACAAAAAAAAGTTAGGTATTTCAAGGTAGATACAGAAGTCACCTATTGTGACATGTATCTCTCACTAATGCATCATTCCAAGTCAATGAATAATTCACATTATTTTTATCCTACTTAACTCTGGTTTAATATAACTTTCCTTTCCCTGAGCCCAAAGCTTTGGAATCCTCACAACTTGGATTTATTTCTTTCCTATTGGGCCAAATGCACCAAAGAAAATACTTGATTAGGATTTAGAAACCTGGGCTTTATGCTTATTTTTGCCACTGTCTCTGACTGACATTCCCTTTTTTCGCTCTCATCTCTTCCTTTGTAACGTGAAAGATGGCACAATCTCTTTCAGCTATAAAAGTCAAGATGATGATGGTAATAATACTACTACTAAAGGAATGGGAGGTGTATGTTTTCAAAAAAAAAAGAAAGAAAGAAAGGGAGAGGAAGAAGGAAAGAAAAGCAAAGGGATTTCAAGAATAAAGTGTAAAATATAACCTTACCATGGAAGGAAGTTACAGTTCACTCAGATTAACTGTGGGGAAAGAAAAACCCAGAAACTGACCAATTTTTAATGTTTTCTAGAAGGAGAGAATACCATATTTTCACACTATGAGCTTCTTAAAAGTTGACCCTGGAAATTTCTGTGTGTAAAGACCTATACATAGTAATAATTGTTTCACTTTACATCTCTGTGGTGCTTTGACCTCACACATTCTCAGTACATTTCATCTTTTTTGATCTTCAAACCAAACCTATTAAGTACAAATTGAACCCTACAAATGTATGAGGCTCACAAAAACCTTCTGCTCTTTTGTTCAGGACCTCAAGATTGTGTTTCACTTTGAGGATGGATGTCTGTTGAAGTTATACTCTCTCACTTATCTCTCTAGTGATCAAAATATTTAAGAATTTGTTATTGTCAGGAATGCATAATGGGGACAATATTTACCTTATTAGAGCCAACTGGATTACTTTATAAACCAGCTGGATTATTCCATCTTGGATTAAATATTAGATCATAGCTCAAAATATTTCTTAGCATAGTGCTGATGTTCAAAAAAGTAGAAGGTTATTTTATATTGCCTATCTGCAGTGCCTTGCTCAGGACCTTGCATATAGTAGGTGCTCAATAAATATTTATTGAAATAGACTCTTTTTTTAAACTTTTATTTTTATTTATTTTTTGGCTGTGTGGCATTCGGGATCTTAGTTCCCTGACCAGGGATGGAACCTACAACCCCTGCAGTGGCAGCATGGAGTCTTAACCACTGGGCAACCAGGGAAGTCCCAAAATAGACCCTTGAATTAAACTGGCACGCTGTAGACATTAAAACAAACCTCTTACTAGGTAAGTTGAAGACAAAGTTTCAAAGAATCTGTAATTTAACCTCTAGATATTCCTAAATAAAGAAATTTGGACTCATTCATATTAGGTTTTGCTTAAATGTTTTTGTATAGATAAGGCCACTTCATAATGGTCCTCTGTTTCTAAACCTATTCGCTTGGTTTTGCTAAATGTAGTTTAAGCAGAATTTCTCTGAATTTTCTTTGGCTTTTGGCTTTTTGCAGTGAACTACAGGGATTGATAACAGAAGAAAAGCAATCGAACTTACAGCAGGTTTTTCTGATTCTATGCAGCACTTATAAAATACATGTAATGGGAAAGAATTCCATTTCATTTTTTTTCCCCTGAGAATGATAGCATTTAGGAGGAAGTTGGGGAGAATGTTTTTTTTTTTTTTACAAATTTATTTATTTATTATTTATGGCTGCGTTGGGTCTTCATTGCTGCACGCAGGCTTTCTCTAGTTGTGGCCAGCGGGGGCTACTCTTAATATGATAAATCTCTTTTAATAGAGAGCCTTCATTAAAAAAAAAAAATAGCATAAATTACCTGGTGGCCAGGGGCCAATGAGGTGCAGTCACCCCTGCACTGGTCCAGGGAACTGTCTCGCCTCTAGTGAGACTCCTAGCAGAAGTGGTTTATATTAGGAAAAAGAAAAAAACATTACAATCAGGTCATATGAAAATAAAACCTATGCTGCAAGAACCTAGCTGAATGTCTTGAACACAGGAGGCACCCAGTCAATACTGAAGCCTTGGATTAAAAATTCAAGTTTTGGGCTTCCCTGGTGGCGCAGTGGTTGAGAGTCTGCCTGCCGATGAAAGGAACACGGGTTCGTGCCCCGGTCCTGGAAGATCCCACATGCCGCGGAGCAGCTGGGCCCGTGAGCCGTGGCCGCTGAGCCTGCATGTCTGGAGCCTGTGCTCCACAACGGGAGAGGCCACAACAGTGAGAGGCCTGCGTACCACAAAAAAAAATAAAATAAAATTCAAGTTTTGCTATTTGCAGTAACATGGATGGACCTAGAGATTATCATACTAAGTGAAGTAAGTCAGAAAGAGAAAGATAAATACCATATGACATCACTTATATGTAGAATCTAAAATATGACACAAATCAACTTACCTACAAAACAGAAGCAGACATAGAGAACAGACTTGTAGCTGCCAAGGGGGAAGAGGGTGAAGGACAGATGGATTGGGACTTTGGGATTAGCTGATGCAAACTATTATATATAGAATTTCCTGGATAAACAACAAGGTCCTACTGTATAGCACAGGGAACTATATTCAATATCCTGTGATAAACCATAATGGAAAAGCATACAAAAAAGAAAGTATATGTATGTATAACTGAATCAATTTGCTGTACAGCAGAAATTAACATAACGTTGTAAATCAACTATACTTCAAAAAATAAGTTAAAAATATTAATCCAGTTTTTGGTTCTATTTTGACTAAATGAAAGCATCCATCTATATACCTGTCCACTTTTGGGTTAATCAGTTCATTTTTGTTTGCTTGTTTGTTTTCAGTCTCTAAATGTTTTAGCTCTTTTATAAGCTGATACTTTCCCCATGATCTTCTGCTTTTCTTGGAATTAGTTTTCCTAAGGCATTTTCATTGTTAACACATAATCAATACATTTTACCAGTTACATCGGAGGTTGACTTGCCTAAAAAACAATAGAGTTATTTTGGGAGTTCCCTGGTGGCCTAGTGGTTAGGATTCTGGGCTTTCACTGCCATGGCCCGGGTTCAATCCCTGAATCCCTGGGTGGGGAACTGAGATCCCACAAGCTGCGTGGCATGGCCAAAACAAAACAGAATAAAAAAACCATTAGTGTTATTTCTTCTCCTGCGCTTAGCCGGGTAGCAGCTCCTGGCAGCCTGGCAGGAACCACAGCTGCTGTCCTGGCCTGTGGCCTCAGCTCCTCCGGGTCAGAGAAGAGCTGGAGGAGGGAAAGGGTGGAGCTGGCTCCCACTAGGCCATGAGAGCTGGTTGGATGCCTCTTTACCCAACTCCATGTTCAGTAACGTCAGGTGGGCATTGTCCGTGAAAATAATCAATAAATGATCAATAATAAGAATAGAAAAGAGTTTTATCTGAGCCAAACTGAGGACTAGCCCAGAAGCCAGATCACTCTGAGAAACTACTCCAGAGAAACAGCGTTTTCAGCACAGTTTTATATCTTGTCAGAACAAAGAACATTAAACAAGTCAGGGACACATTTCTTCAAGGTAAAACACACACACACAGATCAGCTTGTACACAGCAAGTCAGCATGGCCTTGGCACCTGGGAAGGGAGTCTTATCATCAAAAAAAAGAGATGATTTTGAAGATCAGCCAGTGATGGGATCCAATCGTCCTTATGGTCCCTTCCAGTTTTTATAGTCCGTGGAAAGTTGATGTTTTCAAGACAACGCTATCCTTTATCCCTGCCCGATCACTGCTGACAGTTACTAAAATTGGTGAAAAAGTAACTCTTGAAGGGTTTAGAGACTATGCATTCTTTTTTTTTTTTTTTTTTTTTTTTTTTTTTTTTTTTTGC